CTGGATAGTGGATGCCATCACCCTGGCTACTCAGGCACAGGGTCTGCCCTGCCCGTTCATGTGGCGAGCTCACTCAACTAGAGGTGTTGCATCCTCCTGGGCGCTGCCTCGTGGCGTCTCGCTGGCAGATATCCATAGGGCTGCGGGCTGGGCGACCCCTAACACATTTGTTAGATTCTATAGCCTTCGTGTGGAGCCGGTATCCTCCTGTGTTCTCACCTCAAACGGGTAGAAGCACTGAGAGGTCCCGGCTTCGGGTCGGCTTGGAAACCACTCCAGAGAGTCCATATAGTAGACCCTGTTGAGCTCCTCCGTCCCCTCGGCAGCCAGACTTGGCGGAGCGTCCGGCGCCAGGCCTTCACTCGTTGAATCCTCGAGACCCGGTAGAAGGCTGGGTTCCATATGTAAGACCTAAGTGGATCTGCGGCTGGCTTGACCGTGCATTTTCAAAGCGCGGCTGGCTTGACCGTAGTTTCTGGACGGAATGATACTGTAATTTACACAGTCATGTCGTCTTCAAGTACCACAGCAGAGACACAAGGTAACTTTCACCTGTAGATTACTTGTTAAGAAATTTGGCCGAAGTCTGCTTGCTGGTAGCTTACTATTTGTTTTACTTTCGTTTCGTGGTGGACTGATCGAAGTTTTAACTAAATCTGAACATAATTCTGCTGTTTACCAGTTTAAATCGTCTTTTAGAGTGTGGTATGTTATCTTGAAAATGCTGTTGAAACATGGAAGGGCATTTTTTCACAATAATTTAGCTGATATCAGCACATGAAGTAGCCTATTGCATTCTGCCGTAGAACAGACAGACAGTAGGCCTTGAGTTTCTAAAACATAAGTGAATGCTTTAAAGCTTTTCCTGCAGTGATTTGGGCTGTGTTTTCAAACGTTTTCCCTTTTTTAGATTCTGATGATGTTCAGACGAGGAAAAGAAGTGGTAGTTTTGATTTTAAACATCCAAATAGTAAGTATATGGCACAACACAAAGTGTAATAAGCAACAGCTGGTCATCTGAATTAATTTATTTCAGAAAAATCATTTTAAAAAAGTAAACTTTTTTGAAAAATCTGACCAGAAATCAGTGCAAATATCAGCTTTTTTTTTTTCTTACACAATTTGTGTAGTGTCTATGAGAAGGATGGTGCTTGTAGGAAAGACTGGAGCTGGTAAAAGTTCTTCGGGAAACACCATCCTGGGCAGAAAAGCTTTCAGAGCCACCCAAAGTGCTTCATCTGTTACTAAAGAGTGCTGGAAAGAGACTGGAGAGGTGGCTGACCGTCAGCTGATGCTAGTGGATTGTCCAGGGATCTTTGATACGTCCCTCTCAGAGAAAGAACTCATAAAGGAGATGAGTAAATGTATAAACATGACGGCACCTGGACCTCACGCCATCATCCTGGTCATTAAGCCTGGACCATTCACAAAAGAAGAGAAGCTCTCTGTGGAGAAGATCAGAGCCATATTTGGAGAAGCAGCAGATAAACACACGATCATCCTCTTCACTCACGGTGATAAACTCTCAGAAAGCATTGAGAAGACACTGAATGAAGCGCAAGATGATTTGAAACAGCTCATAAAATTATGCGGTGGACGGTATCATGTGTTCGACAACACACAAGTTCATGATCGCAAACAGGTTTTGGAGTTCCTAGATAAGGTTGATAACATGTTGCTCATGAATGAGGATAAATATTACACCAGTGCTATGTTTCAGCGTGTGGAAGAGATGCTGAAGGACAAGGAGGAAGAGCTTAGAAAACAATACAGTCAGATGATACAGCAATTAACAGCCACGTTTAATGAAGAAAAGACCAAACTGGAGGAGACCATTAAACAACTGGAAGAATCTGGGCAGGAAAAAGACCAGAAAATAAAAGAGTTGGAGGAGCAACTGAAAAAGGAGGACACACATTTGAATGAGTTTTTGCGTTTTTATAAGCAGAAATGCAGAGCTGCGAGACAAGAGGTGGAAGAGACACAAGTTAAGGAAAACATCCCAGAGCTCAGAAGACAACTACAAAAGCTTCGTGTCTGAGATATTAGTGAGAGTTCACTGACTGCCAGTAATCTTCAGTATTATTCTTTTTCTCTAGTATAAAATCATACGTATGATATTTGCTATACATTTTAGTATACCAATTTTCATTACAGCAAGCATTAATTTATCCATTGGGTTCTCTCATATTTGGATGTAGCCCTGGTTATGCATGGCGTCAGTAGTTCTTTAACTTGTTTACCCGTTATTATAAACTAGTAACTGACTTAATCTTCTGTGAAATGTTTAGTTTGAAAAGTGTGCTGGTTCTGTATTTCTGAATAAAATGTCAAATCATGTGGCATTTTATGTAATACAAGGACTTTCACATTTTATGTGCTACTTGTAATGTAATACTTTCTGGGGCCTCTCTCTTTGTGTATACGATTACTGAAATACAGACGTTGGTGACTGCAGCTTAAGGCCAATTCACACCACTTTTGATGCAACTAAATAAGATTAAAGAATAAAATATTGCAGCAGTGCATAGTAAAACTAAGAAACATAGTAACTCTGTCATTCTTAAATGAAACCAATATCGACAGAAAGACAGCAGAGGTTCATTATGGGAATGGCAAACAATACTTCACAATAAAACACTATAATAACAATGCTTATATTGTTCTACCTGATGAACAGGAGTGGAGATTGGCTAAAGCTTGATTTGTAGTGGAATGATGAGCTTCTCTGCTGGTGAACTGGTGTAAATGCAGATGTGACAATAGAACTATTGTATTAATTAAAAAGAAGAGTTTTTTAGCTTCTGTAATTAATAAATGTAAATTTTTCTGATGTTGGTGCAATTTGTGGTGGTGTTCTTGGTACAGTTGTTGGTGAGACTGTTGGCACAGCATTTCATGTTTTTAATGATTAACGTGAGACAAATTCTCATGGCTACTGGTCTAAGAGTCTAAACATGGTCCAAACATCAATTGGGAAAAGGGCCCAGAGGAATAAGTAAAATCATCTTCTTTATTACACGGCTCTGTGGAAAACTTGATTCTGATTGGTCAATCGTGCCATCCAGCGGTATGTTATTCCCAGATAACAACCGCCAAATTGAATAACACACTGCTCATCTGGGTACTACGAGTTATCTTGACTGGTACTACTTATATGCTTAACAAGTCACTCTGCTATCGTTGACTGTCTGGCGGCATCTTGTGACTGAAAACACTTAACCACCACGTTACAATGGAAGACTTCGGAATTAATTTCAACATATGGTAAAAACAAATCTTTTTAGCCGTGTAATAAGCGGGATTATGTACATCCAGCCGGTTGTTATCTCAGAATAAACCCCTTCAGGCTGATACAAGACCTGATCCTGATCACCCTGTCTGAGTTTATTCTGAGATAACAACCGGCTGGATGTACATTATCCCTTACTTAATCAATGATTCTATCATGGCCAGTGTTGCCAATTTAGCTACTTTGTAGCTAGATTTAGCGACTTCCCCGCCCCTTCTGAGACTTTTTTCAAAAGTTTAGGGACAAATATAGCAACTTCTTGGACAAACCTTATCTAAGTTCTCATCTTGCCCACTGATCGGCGTTCATCTTTATATAGATCAGTGAATTTGCCATTGTGATGCCATCTAGTGACATTTAGCTACCAGTTTGAGCTACTTTCAATTGAAAGCAGTTGGCAACACTGATCAGGGCCGTAAGCACCCATAGACACTGAGGAAGAAATAGTCAAGTCAAGTCACCTTTATTTGTATAGCGCTTTATACAATACTGATCGTGTCAAAGCAGCTTCACAGTGTCAAAATAAATTGAACTGGCCATATTGTCCCGCCAATATTTGATATTCTTGATGCTGCACGGCAGCATTCTGTTTGTTGTTAGGATGACAAAAGGTTGTAAAAGTTGCATTTTTCGGCTCGTCTGCAGTGCTCTAACAGTGCTCATCAATGTCAGAATGAGTGAGATGGCCAGTCAAATCAAAGAAGACGGGGTTTTACTGTTCACAAAAGATGAGCGTGAATCACTTTAGTTTTAATGGTGAAAGAGTGTATGGTAAGATGTAAGTAGCTTAACATTTAACATTTGTTTAATGATAGAAGTCTTTAACGACCAACTGTAATGCCCTGCGATGCAAACTCCTCAACTTTTTGAATTGATAATATATAATTTATATTATTCATGTAATTCATAACTGAATGTGATGAGACAAGAAGCATTTTGCATTTTTGACATATTTGACTTATGAATAAGAGTGAATGTCATGTTTTAAAATTAAATATAATTTGCAAATAGTTTAAATTGATTAGCTACTCAACTACAATTAAAACTTATTTTACTGTCAAGACTCCCAAAATTAAAAAAAAATTAAATAAAAATCAAGACTCCTAAAGTTCAAGACATGGTTAATTATTATATATTTTAAAAATCTTAAGAAAATGCTGGATCATGGGAAGTTTACTACAATTAAAAAAAAGCAATCCATATATGATCTGAATATTATTACATTGTCTAGCTTGCTTTAGCTGCTCCACATACATTGACTTATGTGGAGTGATATAAACCATTCATATCTTATTGGTATCCTATGCTTATTCATTTTACATGTATCTATATACAACCACCAGGCTCTAGGTGAGCCAACACTACAAAAAGGAAGGCCACATACAGTGGTAACGTTAACATAAACATTTAATCAGAAATCAATCTGATAATAATACAACAAATGTAATTAAAGTATGTGGAAAGAAAACATGCATGGCTGAAGAGGAAAAGATGAACGGAACCGCAGTCCAACTCCTGAGGTTTTATCCCCAACGCAATCACAGGTCAACACACCACATATGTTCCTGATGCACGCTCTGCTGGAGACCAAACCAAGGAACCACTCCACATAGTGGACAAATACAGAGACACCCAGGCTCGAAACAATTTTTACTGTGCGCTTCATTAATCTGTGCTGGTATCAGTGAGTGAAAGAGCTTCTCCCAGTCACTTCTAAAACAAGAAAGAGTTTAATCTCTTCATGCTTATAAGATTTAAAAGATTTGAAGCAATTTTGAGATTTTATTCCTTTTTGCTTTTTTAAAATAAAATGTATGATTTTTCTGGTCAAAGGTCAGTCTAATTGTTTTATTTGCTATAGCATCTGTTAGACGAGTTAGCCTGCCAGTGAGCTTTACACACAATGTATCCAGTGACAGAAAACAATAAGACAAAATATTTACACTTAATAAAGTCATACATTTTCAGTATGGCACAAACCTGTTTCTCATACAATCGTTTACCTTTTCATAACAGTTTATAATGTGTTTAATTAATCTAGTTTTAATGTTTTGTAGAGTTTTCTCCGACGGAATTATATATCTTTTGATGCAAGAAATAAAATAAATGTGTATGGAATTATGAATTCATTGTGCGTCTCAAGTAAATGTATCTTATTTCCATATTCTAGTGGTTGGCATCGATACTATGGCAATCACAAGAAGATACATTTTATTTTTTGTCCTTTTATCGCTACTTCCAACAAACAGTAAAAAAAATATATATATATCTCCCTTATGTTCGTTTTTTCGCGGGCACTTTTCACTGCTGTAAATGGATTTACAGTAGTGAAGAAATACAGTAGTGTCCGTATATTTTCCCATAATCCTTTGCTGTTTACAGTAAAATACTGTATACAGTATATTTTACTGTACATATTAAAACACTGTTCAAATTACAAAAATCGGTTACAGTGACGGGTTCTATATAGAACCCCAATTAACCTTTTTTTTTCTAAGAGTGTATAATAATCTTTATACTGCATAGTTTTTTTACCTGATGAGCAGGTAGGTGCAATGAGACTGTGCTGAATCTGACTGTATAGTAGTGGAGTAATGAGGTCCTCTGCTGGCGAACTGATGTTAATACAGACATCACAGTTACTGCTTTATTATAAATATATATTAGATGGGAATTCAGCCTGTTTCCCATTGCATGATAAAAGAAAACTGCTAAAGATAACACCGCTAATGTGACACATATTTCATTAATCATCTCACAGACATATATCAGCTACTTTATGAAACCTGTAAATACAGAAAAACACAGGTACCATTAAAATGAATGTCTCAGCAGATAATCTAAAATTATGTATAATGTGTAGATAGCCAGTCATAATATAAAATATAAAATCCCAAAGACTTACTGTATATGAGCGTTCTTGTTTGATACTTAACCAATAAATGAATAGCTCTACGTGAAATACTGAATTGATTCAAAACCAGACCAACACTGAAACATAAAATTACATTTATTTATGTATCCTTTATTTAGCCAGGAAAATCCGATTGAGACTTCACAATCTCTTCTTCCAGGGAGACCTGGTCAAGACGGCAGCACATAAAGTTACATAAAAACACAATACTCACACTCAGCAATTAATCAAAATAAGATCAGGAAAAACAAGATTCCTTTAAAACAGTTTGCAAAAGATATTTAAAACTACTCCGGGATGGCAGTGTTTACAGTTTGCAGGTCATTCCGAGTCCAAGGGGCATAGAAAGAGAAAGCACATTCGCCAAATTCAGAGCATACTTTAGGACTTTCAACCAAATATATGATTGAGATCTAGTACAATAACTATTTGTATAAAGATTTAGGAGATTTGAGATATAAAAAGGCAACTTACCTAAAAGAGCCTTAGCTATGAACATACATATGCAATTTCCTCCTATAATGTAAGGAAGTCCATGCCAATGAGTCATAAAGTATACAATGATGAGTAAATCTGCACCACAAACAAAGCGTAATGCAGCATGATAGATAGAGTCCAGTTTCCTTGATAAAGTTGAAGATGCATGCATATATACAAGGTCGCCATAATCAATTACAAAGTACATATACTATTCATGTACAATCCAAGTTGCTCATGATCATTTTACATTTTAACTCGTTTCTTGTTTGCCTGAGTTATCACACTGGTAGGTGTTTTTCTCCACATTGACTTGGACATTTGATCAGTTCTTGCATTGATTCACTGGGAATTGAACCCATGACCTCAGTGTTGCTGGAATCCTCTGCTGTTTGAGCTACAGGAAAATGTCTTTAATTAACTGAGGAAACATTAGATATAGTAGAAAATTCATTAGGTGTGAGTTTGAATCAGCCATCGTCTGGCTTGCTATTTCGGTTTATTTCCGAACTTTCTTTTATTTTAGGTGATTCTTACCAAAAAAAAGAAAAAAGCTTAAAGGGATAGTTCACCCAAAAATGAAAATGTGATGTTTATCTGCTTACCCCCGGGGCATCCAAGATGTAGGTGACTTTGTTTCTTCAGTAGAACACAAATTATGATTTTTAACTTTAAGCGTTGCAGTCTATCAGTCGTATAATGCATGGCAATGGTAACAAAATCTATGAGAGTAAAAAACATGCACAGACAAATCCAAATTAAACCCTGCGGCTCGTGACGACACATTGATGTTCTAAGACACGAAACGATCGGTTTGTGCCAGAAACCAAACAGTATTTATATCATTTTTTACCTCTAATACACCACTATGTCCAACTTCCTTGAGCGTGCGCACGGCATCCGATGCGTGAGGTGTTACCATTGCCATGCATTATACGACTGATAGACTGCAACGCTTAAAGTTAAAAATCATAATTTGTGTTCTACTGAAGAAACAAAGTCACCTACATCTTGGATGCCCTGGGGCTAAGCAGATAAACAACACATTTTCATTTTTGGATGAAC